AATGTTAGCCATTATGATTGCACTTGCACAAATGTTAGAGTCACTGCTCAAAGGTCCCTGGGCTTTATGTCAGACACTGCCAAAATTTGGTGACCAAGTCAGAAAATCACATCTTCTGAAAAGGAGACAAATACGACTCAACATAGATTGGATGAGGTCAGTCTTACATGAAGAGGAGGGCATTAGACTAGAAGTCAGATTGCCCAGCTTCCTCCTCATTTCACCACTCAGCCTTGAGTCCTCGATGAAGTCACTAAAGCTCTTTGAACCTCTTTTCTCCTTTGTGAAATGGGGATAACATCTTCCTTGTTGTCTCATAAAAGATCAAATGAACTAAAAGCTAAGAAAGCACTTTCCAAACTGTAAAGCACTGTAAAAAGAAAAGTTATTGTTAATGCAATCAAAATAGATGGTAATCTAGTTAAATATACTTTCATGGTATTGTCAGAAACTGAAACGGAGGGAGAGCACAGCAATCAATGATGGTTCAAGTGAGGAGGGCACAAAGCATAGATCTTCTGCTTTAACAAAGAAGAAGGTAAGCTTCTCTAGGTTCTAAAAAAGACTAGATGAAATATCCCAGAAGACTGTCAACTCCCTTTGCTCTGATTCTATGCTCAGCAAGCAGCTTCTTATTATTAACTGGGTTTACAAGGCACTATGACACCAAAAAAGGAGTTTGTGAAACAGCAGACAGAATATACTCCAATCGACAGAAAAGAATCAATGGGACACCTTGGTTTATTCATCACTGTCTTATAAAATGTGGTTAGTGGAAATTAATTTTTCATAATCCTGGGGGAACTGATAAACCCTCAAACCTGCAAAAGCTAAAATCAAACAAACAAACAAAAAGAGTCCCTGGGACGTTTCTACCACCACCAGAATGATCTTTTCCATGAAATTATCACAGATACATAGTCTCTTTTAACATCAACTCATAAATGCAACAGCTGTTTCAGTTATGAATTACTAACAGGGGAGGGAGTGGAGAAATACTTGTTGAGTATCAAAGATGGGGTATGAGTTTCTACAATAAGACTACTCACACACATCTCATTTCACTCTCACAACAGTCTTGCAGCACATGATTATTATTACCCTCATTTTACAGATGAGGAAATGAAAGTTCAAAGGAATTAAGTAATTTGCCCAAGGTTATACAACTATTAAATTACTAAACTAGATTTAAACAGAAGTTTGTTATATTCCTAAAAACCTGATCATGACTTTAGCAGGGGGGCATAGCTGAAGTAACCCAGTGTAATGCTCACATTGAGGTTTACCAAATAATACTAATGTGACAAGCCAATTCATTTTTTAAAGGCATTTGAAATCTGATTATGAGGACCTTTAAAAACCTTTAAGCAGCAAATTAAGGTGGAGTTTAATCAGCTATGTAAACCCCAAGTAAACAAACCTGCAAACTTTCCAAAATCAGGCTGAATTTCCTACACACTAAAAAAAACGAAATGCTCTACAGCTAAGTCCACTATTAGATAAGGTTTGATATTGAAGTTAATTCTACCACAACCTATAAACCCTGCCGTACTGAGCCAAGGCATTAGAAGCCTGCTGGACTTGGAGGTGGGAGAACAGGGTTCCAGTCCGCAGGCTATTTGCTACAACCCGGAGTGGTTTCTCTGATTTGGGCAGAGTGAGCTAGACAGGCGGAAAACATTCCAAAGGATGGAGAATTACAGTTTCCAAAGCACTTTCTCCTTCCTGGAATCCTCACACCCACCCATAACCCAGTTAGAGGAGAACAAGGCGTTAAAACCTGTGCTACGGCTGCCAAGCGAATAACTCGCCTGACCCTCGGGCGCCAGCGCGCACCACTCTGGGACCATCTCACAGACTGACAGATAGAAGCACAGAACGATCCCCGGCCACTTCAGGGCCTTTGGGAAAAGGGTAGATATTTTGTCCTTGGCCTAGGGAGTCATGAGGAGTGTTTAGGAGTTCTTCTTCCGTATCTGAAGGCTCAAGACTGTCTGCTGGTGCAAAGAAAAACAGGGGTGCGGCCCCAACTCAAGAATACCCCTGACAGTAGGTGGGGGGTTCTTCCTGGTCCGATCCAGGCCAGGCCTTCACTCTGCACCTGGCACGGACTGTCCCTTCTGAGGCCCAAACTGGCCTCGCCCAAACCCTGGACCACAGACCACCTCTCCGAGGTTGGGTCAGGTCTCCCCTGTACCTGGGGACGCGAGTCACCTTCCTGGGCCTCCCTCCCTTAGACCTCGAGATCTAGCTCATCTCTCTAGGCTGGGGCGCGGTCCCGCCCCCCGAGGCCCAGGTCAGCTCCCTCCGCCTAGCGCAGTGGGGCACCAGTCCCCTTCCCCGAGGCCTGACGGCCCGAACCCAGGCACGCATGAGCCGGTGCGGACGACGGGGAGCCACGGTCCCGCCCGCTCGCCCACCCGGCCCGCGTGCGCTCCTCACCGGGTCCCAGCGCCTCCATGGCGGCGGCGGGGACCGCCTCGCCCCGGTCCCCGGCGCCTCCCGCTCCGGGCCCCGCCGCCGCCGCCGCCGCCGCCGCGTAACGCTTGATCTCCGGAATATTGGCGCTGGGTGGGCGCCGCGGAGACGCGGGCGCTGGGCAGGGGGCGGCGGCGGCGCCCGGCCAGGGACAGGGACCCGGCTCCCGCGGCTCTTCCGGCCTCAGCGACAACAAAACAATCCCCGCCGCCGCCGCTGCCAGCGGGAACGGGAGCCAGTGCGCGTGCCCGCCGGGCGGGGAGGGGGCGCGCGGCCCAGGATCCCGGCTCGCGGAGGGGGTGTGCGCGGCCCCGGCGCCGTGTCCAACGAGCCCTGCGCGGGGCAGGGGCGAGGTGGGCAGGCGCGGGCGCGCGCCCGGGGGGGTTGCAGTGCCCCGAAGACGTGTCGGGGGCGCGCGCCCGCCTGCACTGCCCTGTCCGCCCAGGCGGCCATCCCGGCGCACGGCTGCGGGGGGCTGCGCGCGATCCTCCCAGAGCCTCCCCACACACAGTGCCTCGCAGAAGGTCGGGTTCAGGCCACGCCGATCCACAGGCACGGATCTCCACATCCGGCCGTGGAGCGTCCTAAGGTTCACATCAGGGACCTCTCTCTCTGTCCTCCCACCTCAGGACACTTCTTCCCCCTTCTGTGTCCTCTTTCTCCACTGTTCTGGGACAGAGAACACCAGGGTCACCGCAGACACTGCAGTTTCCCTCCATTTCTTCCTGCAACACCGCTCACCCAGTTGCCTTTTCCTCCCCACGCAGCCGGAAAGCATCACCCTCACCGACCAGGATGAAAGATGCCTCCTCTCGCTGGTCCCAGGACGAGCCCCTCTGGTCAGCTAGTCAACAGTCACTTCAGAAGAGAGAGGTCTTGCTTTCTCGGGTGACTTCACCTCAGCAGCCAAGAGCCAAGGGAGCAACACCCCCCCAAGGGTGGCATGGTCAGCCCAGCAGGCCCAGCATCCTCGCGGCTTTCAGTTGGGACTCTGAGTTGGAGAAGGTAGGACTGCCGGCCAAGAAGCAGTTATGGTCGGTAGAATGAGGGAGCCCTCTGTCCACCAGTTAAAAAGGTACAATGTGTATGTGTTGTATTAGTTTCCCAGAGCTGCCATTACAAAGTACCACTGACTGACTGGCTTCAACAACAGAAATTTATTTTCTCACAGTGCCGAAGGCTAGACATCCAAGATCAAGGGATGGTTTCTTCTGGGATCTCCTTTGCGTATAGATGATGTGTAGTCACATGGTCTTCCCTCCCTACATGTCTGCCTCCAAACTCCCTCTTATAAGGACACCGGTTGTATTGGATTGGGGCCCACCTCATAGAAGTTATTTGGACTTAATTACCTCTTTAATGATTCTATTTCCAAATACAGTCACATTCTGAGGTACTGGGGGTTAGGATTTCAACAAGTGAATTTTGAGGAGGACACGATTCAGTCCATAACATGTATAGGGAGCTATTCATTTGAGCACCTACCATGTGAAGCCATAGGGCCAAGTAATCTTTCCACGTAATGATAAAAAAAAAATGTTAGGGGCACACCATGGCCAGGCACTTCAAATGCCATTTAATCTTTGCAACCACCTGTAAGGTACATATTATTAAAGAAGGTATTTGTACAGATAAGGAAACTGAAGCTCACAGAAGCTAAGGAAGTCAGGCTCTGCATTATACAATAAAGCAGTGAAGCATTAGAAAACTTAAGAGTTCTAAACCCTGTGTTCTAGTCCTGGCTGATTCCATCCCAGACTGGCTATGGAATTAGGACTTTTAGTGGAGTGACTGGTACCATATTCCAAGTTTTTCCTGTAACATCATGCTACTTGTCCATTAAACCAGATATTAACTGGAAACAATAATAGGGGACAGAAGTTTGAAGGGGAGGAAGTATTCCTGAACTGACTAGACTGGTTAACAGTTAAGAGAATAAGAAAAATCAACTAGAGGTCCAGTTTTGAGTTAAACTTAGTAGCCACCATTCTTCTTCGCTGTTCCAGGCTAAATTCCTCCAACAGTTTAAGCAGTGCCAGTGGCTTCCAGCCCTGTTTGAGTCTGAGTTTCTCACTCTCATTTCTGAACAAATTTTCCCCATATTTTATTTGTTACCCTGAGCAGGGATCATAGCTTGTTTCTGTACTAAAAATAGCCTCAGAAACCAGAGTATAAAATGTATTTACCCCATAGTTTCATGTGGGATCGCCATGCCTCAATCCCTCAGTCTCTCACCTCTGCTATTCCTGACCACTTTGATCATCTACAATTCTCATTCCAAAACTCACTCCCACTCAGGCACCCACGGCCTCCTTCCTGAAGACCCTTCTGAGCCCTCCCAAACCACAATTCTGAAGTCAATAAACTACCCTAAACCTTGGCTTGTTCAACAAGCCCTCCCTCTACTTCCTGCTGTGGCTGAAAAGAAGCCATGCCCCAAAATACCACTTCCCCTTCAGCTCTCTGATGGTGGCTGCTCATTCTCCCGCACCCCAGACATATATAGAGCAGAGTGGGGGATGGGTACAGAATTGGCAATATATTTGTCCTCACTGAGCCAAACCTTGAATTCTCATTCTCATATTGAAACCACTTGTCATCTGGCCCAATCACCACAGGGCCAACTTTGATGGTATAACTAACTCAACTCCTGGTCTTATATCTCAGTCCAGACCTGGCTCCCATTACATTATAAATCCTTGAGGGAAGGACTTAATGCCTTATTCAGGTACTCACGTTGTGTTTCTGTTGCCTGACATGTTACCTACACTAAATACCTACTCAGGGAAATTTATAGAATGAATGAATAAATGAGCAAGTAATGTGAAAACAATGGGAGCTACAGATATGGTCCAGTGGAAGGGCATAGGTTAAAAACTCTAGGTGAACTCCCAGCTTCTCCAGAGCACAGACTTTTGAATTACATGCTCCTGGGTTCAATCCCAGTTCCACAGCATACTTAGTCTTAAGTACCTGGGACAATTGCCTTTACCTACTGCTCAAGGATGTTGTGAGAAGGAAGTTAAATGTGCATGTACCTGTGTGTCTGGCACAGAGTAAGTGTCCTATAGTTACCGATTCTGCCCCCTCCCTCCTTTCCCCCAACAAAAAGCTGCTCTCCTGCTGCTGTCTTGTCCCTTGAGAGACTGAGCTCAAGATCTCAGCTAAGCTCAAGAGAGGGGAGCAGAGCTGTCAGGGACTGAACATGTTTTCACACCCTGTGTCTGGACCACCTGAGGATAGGCACTGGCTCACCATCTGGGGGCCAGAGCCAGAACATGCTTGGTCAAGGTTTATGAATGGAACTGAGCTTCTCGAATGTGTCAATGCTCCCCTGAGACCAGACGATGCCAGAGGGAGCCTCACTAGTGGAGCCTGTGCCAGAAGTCAGGGCTCCACCACCAGTTTGTGACCCTCTAAGCTTTACCTGAGCCACTGGTCTCTGTTGGTATTTTGACTCTCCAGCCTCTCCTCATAGTCATTCTACAAGTCTGGAGCTTAGAAGTAAAGGAGGAGCCTCTTTGCAGTCGACAATTGGGCCTGCAGCTTTCACTATTCTTTAGCTGAGGAACCCGTATTTAAACAAAAATCTTAAATGGGAACTGAAGTGGAGCCACTCTGGCTGAAGAAGACAAGGACCTGCACTGAACAAGTTTGTATCCCCAGCCCCTGGCAATTACTGAACAAGATTAGCTGGCCAATAGATACTACCTGACATCCAAATGGAATTTCTGCCCACCTGCTCCTTCTCCATTGGCAGACTTGCTCTTTTGCTTTTAAAAATTAAGATATAAATCCCATACCATAAAATTTGCCATTTTAAAGTGTAAAATCCAGTGATTTTAGTGCATTCATAAGGTTGTGCAATAATCACCACTATCTAATTCCAGAACATTTTCCTCAGCCCAGAAGGAAACCCTGTTAGCCGTCATTCCCCATTCCTTCCTCTCCTCAGTCCCTGGCAACCGCTAATTTACTTTCCATCTCTACAGATTTGCCTGTTCTGAACATTTCATAAAAATGGAATCGTACAATATGTGCTCTTTTGCATTTAGTTTATTTTACTTAGCATGTTTTCAAGGTTCATCTATGTTGTAGCATGTATCAATAGTTGATTACTTTTTATAGCTGAATAATATTCCATTGTATTTATACACCATAAATTGTTTATCCATTCATCAGTCAATGGACATTTGGATTGTTTCCGTTTTTTGACTATGATAATGCTGCTATTGGTGTACACATTTTTGTGTGGATATACGTTTTCAATTCTTTTGGGTATATACCTAGAAGTAGAATAGATAACTCTATGTTTAACTTTTTGAGGAACTATTTTCCACAGCAGCTGCATTGTTTTACATTCCCATCAGTAATGTTGAGGGTTCTAATTTCTTCATAGTATCACCAACAGTTGTTATTTTCAGATTTTAAAAAGTTATAGCTATCTTCATGGGTATGGAGTAGTATTTCATTGTGGATTTGGTTTGCATTTCTCTCAGGACTAATGATACTGAGCTTCTATTTATGGGTCTACTAGCCATTTGCACATTTCTTTGGAGAAATGTCAATTCAAATCCTCTGTCCTTAAAAAATTGGATTATTAATCTTTTTTATTATTGACTTGTAGGAGTCCTTTACACATTGTAGATATTAAGTCCCTTATCACACAAATGATTTGTAATACTTTTCTCTCATATTGTGGGATGTCATTTCACTTTCTTTACAGTGTCCTTTGAAACACAAGTTTTTAATTTAGAAGTCCAAATTTCTTTTGTTACCACATCTAAGAAACTTAGTCCGAAGTCATGAAGAATTACTTCTATGTTTCCTTCTAAGAGTTTTTATTTATAGTTTTAGCTCTTACACTCAGGTCTTTTATATATTTTTAGTTAATTTTTGCATATGATGAGAGGTAGGAGTTCATATTCATTCTTTTGCATTCTTTGAGAATGATTATTTCCCCCAGTGAATAATCTACCATCCTTATCAAAATCAATCAACTGTAATGTAAGGGTTTATTTCTGGGCTTTCAATTCTGTTCTGTCAATCTTATGTCCATTGTTTGCTAGTATCACACTGTCTTAATTACTGTAGCTTTGTAGTAAGTTTTGAAACCAGGAAGGCTAAGTCCTTCAACTTTGTTCTTCTTTTTCAAGATTGTTTTGGCTATTCTGGGTCTCTTGCATTTCCATAGGAATTGTAGAATCAGCTCACCCATTTCTGCAAAAAAAAGGCAGTTGGAATTTTGATCTGTAGATCAATTTGGGGAGTACTGCCAACTTAACAATATTAACTATTCCTATCCATGAACACAGGTTATCTTT